TTGTAGATCTTTGCTTAATGAGATGACTAAATGGATAAATTTGGAAACTTTATACATTAAGAACCTTAGGAGAATCAATCTGAGCTTTTGAGCTTTGTAAATTAAGGGTCAAGAGCTTATTCGATTAAGCTGTCTTGGAGCGTAATTGCGACGTGGTTGTGTATAGACCATGGTGTGGTAGATTATGAGTCCTAGTGACTGTTTTGGAATTTAGTGATGGTGACGCAACGTAATAGCTGGTTATGACGTGGTGGTCGTTAATCATTGACTTTTTGACCAGTTTGACTTTTGGTCAAACTAAGGGATTTCGAGTGGTAGACTCAGGTTTGACCTCTGACAGGTTAGGAGATTCGTATAACTGCTCGATGAGTCACTGACTGTTAGTATTTTAGTTTGTGCTTTATTTGAGTTTTAACACTATATTTTATACTATAATATAACTCCTCTGAATGATACGATGCTAGTATATTGTAGTGAGCTGTTAGGTAGGTAGATTTGTTTTGATAATTACCTGTTGTTGTTGGTTTGTTTAATGTCTGTTTTATCTATGTCAGCATATTATGGGCGATTTGAGGGTGGTCTAACTTTATGGTGAAGGGAAAGAGACTTGGGGTAGAAAAAATTTATGCTGAGGGCCAATGGGGTGGACCAACTTTATGTTGAAGGCCAAAGGGACGGACCAACTCTATGCTAAATGCCAAAGGGGAAAAACAGCTTCATGCTGAAGGCTATTACTTGTACGTATTGTAAGTATATTTTTGTGTGTTTTATTTTTGTTAAATCACTAAGCTTTGGCTTATAGTTTTGGATTAAATGTTGTGGGTACTTCAGATGATCGTGGGAAGGTGAAGGCGTGACTGTCACACTCATCAACAATTTTAGCATTTGGATGGTTGTCTTTTGGAAAAAATGTCTTCATGGTTTTGTATTATGAAAAGGGTATTTTATCTTATTTAAAAATCGAAAAGATTATTGCTAAAAATGGGACGTTCCAAGTTGGTATTAGAGCCTTGGTTTGATGGATTTGGATGAACACTCGTGTGTTTCCAAAATTAGACTAAGGATCTAAAGATTTTCATAAATCTTTCTAAAATGAATACATATTAAAAGAGAAATGAAGATGCGATGTGTGCATTCAGCCAGATCTTAAAGGAAAGTGATTCTTAGTGTATATATATATATATATATATATATATATATATATATATATATATATATATATATACATACTAGTTATAAATGTGTTGATATGTGAATGGTTAGAAATGCATGCTAGTAGTTATGCTAAGGATCCCTTTAGGAATTGCATGATAGAATTCCCAGATTTGTATGATGCCTTGTAGCCTAGGAGATTCCTTTCTTTGTGCTAACTGCAATTTAGATTGATAAGTGTATGCTTCTTAGTGGTACATGATTGGTATTTTATAGACTTAGAATGCTTGATTTAGCCTTAATTGATGTTCCTTGTTTGGTTATAGATTTAGGGTAGATTCATTTATCGGACCATATATCTGATTATGTATTAAGTTTGACTTGCATACACAAAGTGACAGATGATATTAGTAGAGAATATAGTGGTATGGTAACGTAAGGGGGAGAATCCTAGAATGAGAATATAGGAAGTTTAGTTGTAGATCTTTGGGATATATAGCTGTGTACTAGTACACCTATTAGTAGATGAATGTAGTGATTTAGAAATTTGGTATGATTCCTAAGACAAACAAAAATAGGTATAGAAGTAGTATGGGTCCATACTACTTGAAGCACAAGATCAGTACAAGGATCTGAAAAAGTCACGAGGTTACTAAGGAACTGGTAAATGAGTGTAAAGTCTATGCTAGCATTATGACCTATTTCCTATATATTTTCAGTATGGTGATGACTAGAGGTTCAGGTTCTGGCACTAGCAGCCAGGAGAGGCCGTATAAAGGTGTTCTGGAGTTCCGTGAGGTGATTGTTGGGTTTTGAGAATTCTAACACTCCTAAGTGTACATGAAACCCTTAAAATTTTGGATCTATGTTATCTCTATTATACATGAAAATATGAATATTCCAAGGTATTACCCTAACTAGCATACAAAACATTAATTCATATGGAATAATATAAGTTAGAAGACATACATTTTGATATAGCTTGATTCCATGGAGCTTAAGAGTATAGTGCCCAAAGTGTGACACCTTAAATGGTTCACACAACATCAAATACACTTGGAATAACTTGAGAGCAATGAGACACTTCATGAAATTGGCTAGCCCTCACCATTCATACATAATGGCCGATTTTTTGGAAGAATAAGATGCTTATATAGTGTGTCACAATTAGAGTTACACCATATAAACCCTAATTGTCATGGCCTTTCATTTCCATGATCCATGGGTACAAAAACACCATGGAACATCAAAAATATTTTCATTTTATTTTGTTCTTTAAATTCGAAAAATCAAAAACAACAAAAAGATTTTATTTCTTCTTTCTTTTGAGTACTTTGTTGTAGCTATTCTTGAAGATGTGAAGAGGCAAAGATTTGCAGATTCTAGGGTCAGGTATAAATTTCTAATCTTTGAATTTCAATTTTTTTTTAAAAACTAGTTAAGATGTCCCTAGAAGCATGCTGTTGCATGTTGTACGAAGCCTCAAATTGATTCAACGTTTGAAATCCTTAATGAAAAATTTCATATGAAGATTTCTAGCTAATAAGGCTTATATTCACATTAGTCCAATGAGCTACCTTACTCTTCTCACATTAGTTAAGAGTTTTCTGTTTGGTCCAAATATAACAGAGGTACACTTCGTATCTTCACCAATCTTTTTCATCTAAAATTTCTTTCACGATCACACACGAAGACATATGTCCAAGAGGTCTTTGATCATACCAATCAAGACTTAGACATATCAACAATCTGTGTTAATGATTTAACATCATGAGACCGTGATGAAAGTGAAACCCAAATTTCTTGCAAATTAAGGAATTGACGTGGAACTATGTTCCAGACTTTAGGAAACTTTTGTTTTAGTACCTATTTTCAAAACTCCGAATCATATTCATTTCATATGAGTGATCTTGATAAAACATTCGAAACCCACGGTGTTTGTTACCCAACAAGATCCAGAACAAATTTTTTTTCCATGAATATGATTTCCATGTGAGTTTACTTCGAATTCCAAAGTTACATTGAATATTTTTCAAAGCACACTTGTCACTGACTACACTGGTCAAACAAGTAATTTCTGTTACAGTTACTCACCTTATGTTAAGGTTGATATGTAACGAAATTTGTATGCCACCCATTGAAACCTTGAAAAAGAAGCCCTTCGATACTTATTTTCAAGTATTTGATTGTAATTCACGGGAAACTACACAGGCTGTTGATTATCTCTCTTGATAATTAACGAAACAACCTTTACCCGGGGTTTATCTGCCTTCGTGTCAAATTGTAGGTTTGACATCACTACATATCCATTTTTTTTACTTTGCTTCTTATCTTTATGATGTTGATCCACTGCACTCACGAAATCCTTGAGGTTCTGAGTAACTCAGGTTGATGATTTCAAACATCTGGCATATGAATTTTCTTTTCAACCCGAAAGTGAAAGAGCCTAACTTCCATCCGAAGGGGTTCTGACGGTTACAATTCCATTGGGTCCATAAATACACGCTGTTTGAGGAGATGTTTTATATACTTCCGGTTTTCAAGGCGATGTAACAGTTACTTTATGACACATGGTTACTTTATCATCATCATGATGTGCTTTTCTCGGTGACACGTCAGCAAGCATTAAATGCATATCCCGCTTTGATTTCAAATTGAAGAGTTACATATAACAGGGGATTCAAGGGTTCATTATCAGTTTACACTTTCATCTTACTAAAATTTTATCTGATAATCATCTGCTTTCAAACCCTAAAAATGGCGACTGCAAATCCTGATGCTACTCTTTCTCACACAACTTATGATGTTACTTCTCTACCGATCATGAAGATTCAGGGTACTAATTACCAGGTTGAATCAAATGTTTCTGTGTAGCCTGAAGAATTGAAAATGATGGTGGTTGCTTTGCAAAACTCGGTATTATCAAAGGGCATGTTAAATTCATTCGTTGTTCCTCTTTTTTGGTTATCTCAAGTCGGTTCAACTGCAACATGTTCAAAAGATTTGGAGGCTGTTACATTCAATCTCATCAATGATAAAAAGGTTAGGTTGTCAAAGAAGCTTTTCTGCCAAATCCTTGCCATACCGAATTAACCACCATATGTTACTTTTACCTTTCCACAAATTGTACACATGTTCAATGAAATGGGTCATCAACCCCAATTGATAAAGATAAGTAACTTCAAGAAGTCAGGGTTATCAAGTGTATGGAATTTTATGTTTAGGATTTTTCTTCGATGTTTAACTGGAAGAACGGTTGGGCTCGATAAGGCAAGAATGGAGGTGTACACCATGGTTGCTGGGCTGTACTATGATCTCCTGGTTGATTACTCAACCCAACTGTGGAAGGAGTTTTAGAAAAGTATCGAAAACACGAATGCTATTCATGGAATTTCGTGTGCTCGATATTGGAGTCTAATTTTGCAGCATTTCTATGAAAAAGAACGTATTTTAGTTCCAGTGGAAGAGGAGAAAGCTGTGTTTCACACTTATAGTTGTCCGAAGGATGCAACGGATGATGTAGATATATTTCCGTTTGCTACTCGTATCCCTGACGCCATGTTAGAAAGGATTGATCCTTCAAATCTAGACTTCGTTTCTTACTTAGAATCCATAGATACTTCTATGGAAACTGGGATTCTCTTACAACTGACAACTGAAAAGAAGTTAAAGAAGGAGAAGAAGACTGATGTTGGGTCTTCGGGTACAAAGGTTACGACATCAAAGAGTATGAAGCAGGTTCTTGTGATCGAACCTGAGCCAATTCAGCTGGAGTCTATTATTCCTGATACCCGGGCAACTGAAAAGAAGTCGTTCCTTCAAAAACTGGTGTATTGAGATGAATCAAGATGAAGTCGAAACACAAGCATCAATCATTTAGTTTGAAAGTTGTTCGTAAACCCCAAGTTTCTCCTCAAGGGGTGATTTTTAGAGACATACCTGCCCCTGCTTTTCCTTCTTCAAAAAAGCGATTGGCTGCTAATATGGCAAAACAACTCTCCAAGAAGAAAAAGCAAATAGTGATTCTTACCTCAGAATCTGCTGCAGATGAGGGTGAAACTATTCTTGAGACACCTGAGGCAGATTTGCTTGAAGATTCTTCTCACGTGGATACATTTGTTATTACACCACCCGAAGTTTCGCTTGCCAAGACAGTTATTGTGGAGGCTCAAACTTCAGACATCCCTGTAAACATATATGATATGGATACAAATTTCATCATGGGTGAGGATGAATCGAATAAAGAAACAAAAGGTAACCATTCGAATGTAGTTCCAGATTCTTTCATTTCTTTACCTTCACATATTACCCCTATCATTCCTACAACATCCACAACAGATTCTCCAACTTTTGCAAACATTATTTCACAACCTTTTACCACTCTTTTTCCTTCACAATCAAATGATCCACAAACCACTACTTCTCTAATAAAAGATTCATTCATGGATACTAAAAATGAATCTGAAGGTTTTGGGGGAACTTTTGAGAATTTGGAATTTGATGAAGAGGAAACTGACTTCCCAGATCATATGCTCATGACGATGAAACAATTCAAAATCTTGAATACGAAGCTTAACTCTATTATTCAATCTCAAGCTGATCTTGGGGGAGGTCATTCTGTATCTAGCCTTGAAGTTGATAGCATGCTGACATTACTTGAGGGGAGATTAACCACAAAAGTCTCTGGACTGCTGAAAGATTCAGAGTCTATGTTATTGGAGAAGACTGATTATTCTGATCAAAATAATGAATTAAGAGTGAATTCTCAGAAGTTTGGATTTGCTTCTGACTTGAAAGAGTTGAAGGCAGTTGCAAAAGAGAGGCATGTGATGTTTGTCCAGGATATAAAGAAGGTGAGAGAAGATGTAAATTTCAAAATTCAGGATTTACGAGAAGATATGGAGAAAGAAATATATGTTGTTCACACGGAGTTTGATTCCATCAACAAGAAGGTGGACAATATTTGTGAGTCGGTAACGAAGTTTGCAAAGCTATATGAAAGTCTGTGTCCTTAGACATCTCAACTTTTAACAAATGACAACAAAAATGTTCTGGAGGTGTTCGCGCTTTTGAAAGAGCTTAAAAGTGTATCTTCCAAGTCTACTGTGTATGTGCTATCTTCGGAAGATTTGATCCATAAATTTTCTAATTTTGAAGAGTTACTTATCCAACAACTAGCTCCTTTATCACGCATCTCTAGTCTTCTTCCAACTACTTATGCCCCACCTGCTAGCATAGGGGTGCAAGGGGGAGACAAAATATCTGCAGGACTGAAGACTGGAGGGGGAGATTTGAAAGTAGTGGGGAAGGTGTTCTCTTTGAAAATACCAACAACAAAAACCATTAATGGCAACTGCTGGTCCAATAACCTCGACAGTTGTAACTACTGTACCAATTACTAAACCGAAAGGGATAGTGATTGGTAAATCTGCTGACATTGGAGGAAGTGCTTTAAAGCCAAAAGTTGATGATGTTGTATCTAGCTCAAAATCAAAAGGTAAAGAAATTTTGATTGAAAAATCTAAGGAGGAAAAGAAAGCAGAGGTAGAGGCTGAGGTTGAAAAAATGAGAACGATCCAAGGTATCATGACTCAAAGGGCCAGTGACCCTCCCGACTTAAACAAAGGAGATCCTTCGAAGCATTAGAATTATGAAACGATTGAAGCCAAAGTTGCATTCAGTCACATGTATACATTTGAGAAAAATCCCAAGCAAAGCTATCTTGTCACAAATACAGATGCAGGTCAGCTGGATTTCCCTATAAATGAAATGATGTTTATCATGCCACAATTCAAAGTTGAAAGCAAATTTAATAAGAATGAAGAGGGAACACACATGAAGATCAGATTTCATGTTGTTCTTGCGAAGCCTGCTGAAAAGGTATGGTCGTTAACAAAGATCAAGAAAGTGATAAGTATAAAGAAGGATGTGGTCTTCGAAGACACAGTCCAAAATTTGAAATATACAGTGGCGAGGGCAAATGGAAGTGTACATGAATTCACAAGTGCTGAATTTCCCTTGATGAACTTGTATGATCTTATACAAGTTGAATTAATTCTGAAGGAAAGGTCATTTTCTTATTTGCAAAACACTGAGCCGGATGAGTTTAAGCTGGGAGTTACTCACATCAAAATCTTCATTGAAAATTATTATGAATGTATGGCAATGACAGATGTGGAGTTAGCTACAGCAAAGGGTCTTGAAATAAGTGCTCTCATGAATCCTTCGAAGTCTCAAGCAGAACTTAAAAGATATGCTGATGGGGAAATCTACTTGAACTCTTTTGGTTTAGTCTTTTCTGGGAAGGTTAAGTCTGGTAGATCGAAGAAATTTTTGTTTCAAGCTGCTGAAGTATAAAGATATCCGACTTCGCAATATACGAACTTAATTGTTCGTGTGAATCATTGCAGGAAGAATAATGAGAGAGACTAGAAGGAGCTTAAGAAGATAATAAGCTGGTACACAGAAATACGAAGAGTTATATTGTATTCAATCCAACTTCTTACAAATTGATGTCTTCAACTCTGATCACAAAGGGGGAGATTGTAAAGGTATTTTGGGATTGTAATGAGTCAAAGTATTTCGTACTCTTCGTACGGATTATAATATATTTTACTAAGGCATTGTATCCGAAGCTTAATGTTTAGTCCTGAGTATATTTTTTGTACGCTTTTCTCTCCTATAAATAGGAGTGTTTACTTGTCACACCCCAAAACCGAGAACGGAGGAATACGTTCTGGGGTGGAGGACATCATGTTCAGTATCATAACAACGCATAATAGTAAAAACAAGCAGCCACATTTATTGCACTAATATAATAGTTGTAATACAAGCGTATTCTGTACATTTATGTAGACAACAAAAGTATGAACAAAATAAAAGATGATTCTTATATGTGCTCCATCTTCCCAAAAATTGAATCAGTACCTGTTTATTTTTTACCTGAGAATACAAGTTATTTTGAAAACGAGTATCAGCATAAAGCTGGTGAGTTCATAAGTATTTAGTGTCGTTGCTTGTGTAAAAGTGTTTACAATCTTGTAGTGAAATGACTATTATCAAAATTTGAAAGTAGTTTTCATAGAAAAATCCCATATTTTCCAACAAAAGTAGTATTTTTACCAAGACTGGGTCATTAGTAAGCTCATTTCTTTTATAATAAGATAGTATTCTCGTGAAAATATCAGTAATGAAACTACAGTTTTAGCTCGTTCATTTTAGAGAAGGAATGGAGTTTCACCCCAGCAGCATCCATGCCAGTTAAATGTAATAGTGAATGTAAACTCCGGATAGCGTTAATTTTTTATGCACCTAGGGATGTGATTTTAATTAAAGTTTGAATGTGAGCTCATATGGAATCATACTGAGTGATAGTATTACAGTGGTCGACCCTCCAGGTCACCAATAGTGTAGTAGTATTTGTCATCCCTGGGCCAAAAGGCTTGGACTGTAGCTAATAGTCAGGATGGGGGAAAATCCGTCTCGTATAGATCTATACATGTTATAAGTGGTCGCTCTCCCTCCAGGAGAGGATGGTTATCCGACGATCGCATAGCGATAGGTAGTGAGATAGTGCATCACATTCTGTTATAGTATTTTCTTACATATGGTATATAGTGTTTCTCTTAGTTAACTATGTACTGTTCTCTTGATGTAGTTTATAGTATTTCTTCTTATAGCGGGTAGTGTTCCCTTAGTATAGTGTATAGTGTATAATGTTCTCTTCACATCGTATATTGTACATATAGTCTTGTAATTGTACTGACCATAGTGTGTATCATAGTAATATCAAAATTGAGTGGTAATCCTTAACTATACCTATTATAGTTAAATTGAGTACTTGATTTAGTGTCTTCGATATGTAGAAGTATTAAAATAGAATGAAAACTTTTATATCTAACACAAATATACAAGATATATAACTAAATATTAAATGACAGTCGAACAGGTGACCTAATACCCTAAGCCCACAATCAAACAAGAAAAAGAAATAAGGTCAATTACCAGTTCTAAGTCCTTCAATACCTATTTATATAAATATATTAGTGTAGATATGATTTGAAAATAATTTTAGGTTTTGAAAATATTGAAAAATGGTTTTAAGACAATTGATTTGTGAAAATAAGGTTGATAAATATTTGCAATAACTTTACTGACAAAATACTTTAAAATGTAAAACTCCTTATGATAGTAAACCATCAATCAAGTGTGATTTATTCTGCAATGTATTGGATTCAACTTGTATCCCCCCCATAAAACAATTAAAAACATTTGAAAGGTTAATTAAGGGGGTATGAACTCACTGTTTGACGTAGGGTTCAAGTGTGCTATCGATATGAATGTCGAGTGTCAACGGATGCTCTGAACGCAAGTATCCCCTATTAATCATATGGTGACACATATATAAGTTATAGCTAGGGTGCTTCATGACTAAAATGATGGGAAATCACCGTAAGGACTTGGAATCACTAGGACTAACTGTCTCGCATTATTTACTCAATGATCTATGCAAGTTTAAGGCCAAATATGAGTATTAGGGTGGGTGTATAACCATAAAAGTGAGTGTGCAGCAGGGGAATGTGGCCAAACTGGTGTGTGAGGCTACACACTAGAGTGTGCGGTCGTACAGGGTGTGTGTGCGGCCGTACACTTCTTGTTTGAGTCCTATGTGTCGATTGTACGAACATCCTCTCACTATGGAGGGTGTTTTGAATGTGTGTGGCCACCTGATTAAGGTGTGCGGCCGCACACTCCTTCAAGGAGTGAAGAACACGAAGAACACTATGAGTTTTTGGCTTGGATTCAAGTGTTTTACCTCTATAACAAGCTAAAAGATGATGTTCTTCACGTTTTAGAGGCCTTCTAAGTGTTCTTGGGTGATGTTTTTTGAGAGAGAAAGTAGAGAGAGGAAGAGAGTGCAGCCAAAAGTGAATGGAAATGGGTCATATACTATATATAAGGTCGGGTGTGAGGCTGGAGGGGTTTGCGGTTGGGTGTGCGGCTGGCTGGCCGCACACACTAGTGTGCGGCTGCACACACCTCTCTTGGTGTGTTTGCCTGGATTTTGCAATGCAACACCCTTCTTAACCCTTTCTATGGCCCACATCTATGATATACTAAGCTTAAAACACTCGCGTAGACCCAACACGTTTGCTAAAGGTGCTAAATTCACGTGAATTATAGATATATGGATCGATTTCACTATGTAAAAGTGTTGGGTTGTCACATTCTCCCTCCATTAGGGAAATTTCATCCCGAAATTTAGAGTTCAAGCAGTTAAGTTATTACAAATAACTAAGTAAAAAGATGGGGGCATTTAATTTTCATTTGATCTTCGCGCTCCCAAGTGAACTCTGGTCCTCATTTGGCATTCCAACGAACCTTCACTATAGGGATGCGACTTTGTTTCGTTCGTTTGACCTCTCGATCCATAATCTCCACCGGTTCTTCCACAAAATTGAGGCTCTCATTGATCTCTATCTCGTCGAGTGGAATTACTAGAGACTCGTCAGATTGACACTTTTTCAAGTTTGAGACGTGGAAGGTAGGATGTATGTTACTAAGCTCGCGAGGTAGGTTGAGTTTGTAAGCCATAGGGCCGATTCTAGAGACAATCTCGAAAGGCCCTATGTATCTTGGATTTAGCTTTCCACGCTTTTCAAAGAGTATCGTGCCTTTCTAGGGTGAGACTTTCAGAAGGACTTGGTCTCCCACCTGGAACTCCAAGGGTTTTCTTTGTTTGTCTGTGTAGCTTTTCTGTCGGTCTCTAGCGGCTTTTAATCATTCACGAATCTAAACGATCTTCTAGGTTGTTTCTCGAATGATCTCCGAACCCGTGAGAGTGCTGTCAGGTATCCATCCTTTAGCTAACTGGGTGTCACCCACCTCAGCCCAACACAGAGGGGATCTGCATTTTCAGCCATAGAGGGCTTCAAATGGGGCTGCCTTGATGCTCGTGTGGTAACTGTTGTTGTAGGAAAACTCGACCACGGGTAAGTGGGTATCCCACGCCTATCCAAAGTCGATCCCACAGGCTCGCAACATGTATTCTAGAGTTTAGATAGTCCTTTCACTTTGTCCGTC